GTCCACTTACGAGGCACACATGTGCACAGTGACCTAACTCAGCAGCTCACACACAGGTCTCAACACCCACAGGCAAACAGGGAAACTCAGGTGCACAGCAGCTCAATGACTGAACAGTGAAACCAGGATGTGAACCTGGGTGGTCAGGCACCAAGGCTCTTGGACCTCCCTCCCACCCAAGCTGCCTCTCAACTTAGTTAATATTGTCACATTCCTCCTTCCTGAGTTACTTTTGTAGGTACAAAGAAAAAAATTTTAGTCAGTACGAAAATAGGTCAAAAATAAAACAATGAGAAAGCAAATACTCAATGCCTTTACACTAAAGTAAGAAAGCCTCAGTATGTCTATCTGTAAAAGGGGGACAACCTGACGCACTCTTCAGCTGCCGTAGGGGATGAATAGTGACTGGTGTAAAGCACCCGGCCCTGGGTGACTATTACCAGAAAGACAGGACATGCCCAGATATAAATAGGCTAACACCAAACGAGGAGCAAGTTGAGTCCTTCAAATAACAGAACAGAAGAAAGCAGCTCATACACATCTACCCACAGCCAGGAGCAACCTCTGGAACTCAAGTCAGCATCACAGGTCCACTCAAACCAACCCACCAGGCCCTGCAAGCAAATAAGACTCAGGCACTTCTTGACACCCTCTGCTGGCAGCACGTGTGCTGACACCATACACCAGGGGTTCAGGTCATCTGTCGTTGAACCAGTACAATCATTAGCTGCTCTTCTTACCAAGGTGTGGGTCCAACAGGTGTGGCTGCTCCTGGTACTTGTCCATTATCACTGAGGAGAAAAACATGAAAATTAACTTTCTGTGAGCCTCAGAAAGCCTCCTGTCTTCCCTTGTGAACTTCCACAGGGCAGCTCCCGAGAGCATACCTCCCCTCACCAATAGACAGATGCACACCTAGGGGTGGGCACCCCACCTCCCTCCAGCCTCCAGAGGCTCTGGTTGTGATCTCTCTGCTTGCTCTGTACACCTTCCTCAGACCCTCTTCCCACGCCTCCAGTGCGCCCTTCCTCCCTAGCAGGGCCTCTTCCTCACCTCACTCATTCTCCACACCACCTCCACCACTTATAAACCAAGCTCAACACTCTCTGTTAGATACATCCCTTCCACTCCTCTCCTTCCCTGCTGTGCCCCATAACCTCCTTGACCCCGTGCCAGCTGCTTTCCACTCCTCCCAGCAGCTGAAATTTTTTCTATCCAAACCCGTGTCTCTGCCCATGAGTCTCACCTGCCACACACCTCCACATCTGACCGAACTCACTCACCACTCCCCAAGAATAGCAGAATAGGCTATCATTGGTCCCCAAATATGTAACTGGTTCCCAGAACAAAAACACCTTTTTGCAACTCTCTTACATTCCAAGTTCCCAGGTCAGTGAGATTCATTTATAATTTCGTTTCACTGATCCCCTTTTTTTTGAGTTGGTTTTCAGAAATGGTAAACCCTCTTTGCAATGAGGAGATAGTCAACAGGCTTTGTGCTGCAATTGTTCAAAGTCAAGATAAGTCACATTCCACCACAAACACTGCCCAAGGACCAACTGAGCAATCTACTCTCCACAACCCACTGTGTGAGATCAAAGGCTGGCCAACGTTAACGCCTAGCAGCCAGGACCCCCCTCAAAATACTACTAAAATCTCCACCCTGGGAGGGGATCAGCCACCTGTAGTGCCAGAGGTTGAAGCCAAGAAGGGTCACACTGGATTCAGACTGACCAGAGAAAAAGTAAGGAGAAGGTAGCTGAGACATGACCTTTATTCAACTTGTGGCAGCCAGCAAGAAGTTATGGGGCCATCTGCCTTCACTTAACTCTTGAAGGCAGGAGAGCTGGGATAGCAGCTCCCCAGGCAGACAGAAAGCCTGGGGCCTTACATGGTAGCCAGAATAGTGGCTCCTGATCAAGCACTAGGGAAGATTACTTAAGATAACAGGCACTAGCTGGCTTACCCATGGTTACTCAAAATAATCTGACACCTCAAGGCCTTCAAGCAAGAAAGCCTAATTGACTCATCTTCCCCACACTCCACCATTTAGGGTTTCTCACCTCACAATCTACACCAGGCATCCTCAAACCCCAGCCCACCTAGGACATTTATCCAGCCGCTGCCTGTCCTGCTTAGCAGCCGACTCATCCCCGGGCCAGCAGTCCACCCTCCAACGGTCTGAGGGACAGTGAACTAGCCTCCTGTAAAAGTATGAGGACCCTTGAACCGTAAAGTGTTCCCCGAAAGTTCCTGTGTGAGTGTGGAGCACCATCTCCCTTTGCCACGAGACGCACTAGGACAACAGTGATGGCACAAGCAATAGCAGGACTTGTGGCCCATGTTTCTGTCCAACGTGCAGGGATCGATGATGTTGCCGCTGGGCAATGTCTCTCAAAGGGGCAGTCTGGGCTCGGCACCTGTGGCTCAAGCGGCTAAGGCGCCAGCCACATACACCTGAGCTGGCAAGTTCGAATCCAGCCCCAGCCCACCAAACAACAATGACGGCTGCAACCAAATAGCTGGGCATTGTGGCAGGAGAATCCCTTAAGCCCAGGAGTTGGAGGTTGCTGTGAGCTGTGATGTCACAGCACTCTACCAAGGGCAACAGCTTGAGGCTCTGTCTCAAAAAAAAGGGGGGGGGGCAGTCGGTTGCCACCAGACTTAGACGAGGGAGTCTGATTCATCGTGACCTGGATGGGCCCACGGGGCATGCAAGCTGATGTGACTATGTCACTGGTTCTGGAGTCAACTCCTACAGCTCCTACAACTCCTGCCACATGGCCTGGCCCAACAATGGCCTGTGCATAACCATCCAGTGATTTAGGTGTCACGTGGCCATTCATAGGGTCAACCCCCCAAAGACAGCCCAGTTATCTGCACAAGTCACTGACAGCGATGGCTCATCAGCAACCACTAGTCACGCCACTCAGAATTCAGCCTACTGCTGCTTTGTTCAGTCCCTGGGTGATACCTAATAGCGTCTGTCAGCAAGAAGGCTACAGCCATCCACCATGCAGGGCAGGGTGCCCCAAACTGGAGCCCACAATCTCAGAAATAGTGGCATACCCTCCCTAAAGGGCTAGCTTTCAATCACCAGGATGTTCTGCACCCCAGCTTTCAAGCAGGCCATGAGACCCAACACTTTCTGTAACCCAGACCGTAACGGGCTGAGGCTCGGGGCACCATGCTGTTGTAAGTACACCCCCCACTTTGCCAGGATTGCATCTATGCTGACCCGCTGCAGAGCTTAGTGGTCCAGTCCTGTACCCAGCCCACAATAGCATACATGATATGGAGAGTCATAAGGGCAGTAGCACCATATTGTTGCCAGCAGGGCCTCGCTGAGGTAGAGCTGCTGCTCAGACTCCTCCTTGGCCTGAGTCAGGGAGCTCAGTTTCCCTCTCAGGCCCACATGGCCTCCACAGCCTACCAGTTCTCTCAGAGGTGGCTGTTCACTTTCTGCTGCTCCACAGCCCCTAAGCTCCGTGGCCTCTTTCTCCAGATACCAACCTGATAGTCCAGTTCCTAGAGATGGGTCTGCTGGTCAGCCTCTGCCTGGTTGGCCTGGGTGTCCCGGGCCTCACCCACCTCCAGCAGGGCTTTGATGGATCAGATTCTGTGAGCTGCGAGTTCCACTCCCTGGCCTCCATGAGCTGCCCATGGAGACCACTCAGCTCCTCACATTTACTCCTCACCTCCACTTCAGAGGACTATAGCATGCTATGCAGCTCAGCCACCTGCTGCTGCCCCTGGACCCTCTCCACATCTGCCCAGAGGCTGGCATGGCTGGTCTGTGTGACAGGGCTCCCAACTGACCCTACCCAGGCACTTCCTCAGGGCTTCTCCGCTTTCACTGTGAGTCACCTACAGCTACTTAACCTGGTTCTTGAAGCAGCTGCCCTGGCTTCCACAGCCTTCTGCTGCTGCACAAGACTCCCCACCAGCTCCTTGCCGACCTGAGTTCCTGCCAGAGCTTGGCCTGCTCTGCATTCTGCCTGATCTCCACCTGGCTTATGGCCTGGATCAGGGCATTCCTCAGAACAAGGTTTTCCTGCTGCAAATGGACCAGCTGAGGGTTAGGGCCACTCTCCAGCTGCTCCTAAAGAATTCAGATCTTGCCCTGGTTGGAGGACCCCCTCTGCTCTTCCTCTTTCAGCAGAAAATCTTGCAGGAGAATGGCTCACATACCTGGCCTCTCAGCCCTCCCTCGTTCTGCTTCTCCCTTCTTATTCTCCCATTTGAGGGGTCGGAACCACTGCTCTGGAGTGAGCTGTTGCCATAATTCTAACAGCAGGATGTTGGATTTCCCATCAATTTTCTCTTGGTTAACCTCTGCTGCCAAAGGGACACCTGAGTGCGCAAGACCTTCACTGACTTTGTGGCTTCCCGACCCCATGGTGCTTTTTCAGTAACGGGCCAAACTCCCTTCTCCTTCCATTTGGTCTCTGCCTCCTCTAGCGCAGCTACGGTGTCACAGTTACCTTACTGAGCGCCCCACAGAAGGTGCCGATATTGCCCCAAACAGGGCAGAGGGCACGCTCTGCAGCACGGTGTCCTCCATACCAGCTGTAAAGTGTTCAGCATGGGCCCTGGACATTCAAGTTAAACGTGGCATTCCACATGCCCAGTTCCCAGAGAACCTGCTGTAGTTCCATATAGGACTGTAGAGACTAACAGGACCTGGCAGGTCACCAGCATTTCACCACACAGTGCAGACTGTGGCCATGACCCAGACCAGCAGGTGTCGCGGCAGCAACACCGCAAGTGATGCTGCAAGGACAGTTGTGTGGTGACCGAGGCTGATCTCTCCCTCTCTGGGACACCCAGGACAACAGCCACCCCTAGATCCCATAAATGCAAAATTCAAACAGCCAGGGACTCATCCATCTTTGGCCAAAACTTTCCCCAGCCCCACCAACTCTGTCTAGGTATACAGACAAAAGGCGGGTTCAGTCACTTGTGGGGGTGCGGCTGCCTGCCCTCCTTGGGCCCTTTGTTGTTGTATCTTTATTTCTTCTTACTTACCCTTTACTTACCATCCACTTTACTTCTTTTGTTATCACTGGCTCTGCCTTAAAGCAGGGCTCCCCTTCCTCCTCTTCTTTAGAACTAAAGGAAGAGTTTAACTGATCTCATGAGTCACCCTGCCACCCTTCCTCCAGGAGCCATTTCATGTCCCCCAATGCCCTGTGTCGAGGGTCACACTGCCACCCCTCTTCAAGGAGTCTTGAAGGGCCCTGTGCTGCTGTCACTCAGTCTGGAGTTCCCAGATGCTGCTGCCTCCTGAAGCATTGCCTCCGACTCTGTTTGCAGAGCTGTAAGAAATACCCAGGCCCCAGCCACACAGCTGCACGGACACCTTTTTTCTTTAAATGCCTCTCCCACCGTGTAGAGGGCCCCCCTGACCAGCAGTGGTGTCCCATCCACATCATGCCACTCCTGATGGGGCACCCAGGCAGAAAATAGGCAAGCCATTGAGTACCACATACTGGAGAACAGCCAACCTCTCTATCCTCCCCTCCAGGGATGCATAAAGTTCTGTACCAGTCTGTGATGAATACGGCCCATGCCAACTGTAGTGCCAGAGGTCAGGGCCAAGGAAGTTCGCACTGGATTCAGACAGGATGGAGGAAACCCCAGGGGCCCAAGGTAGCCATGACATGCCCTTTACTCAGCTTCTGGCAGCCAGTGAGCAGGCACTTTCACTCAGCTCATGGGGCCAGGCCAGTTGGCAGTAAGACACTTTCCCCACAGACACAAAGCCTACAGGGCCTTATACAACAGCCAGAACAGCAGCTCAGAATTAAGCATTGATAACCAACAGCACTCAAAACAATCGGGCACCTTGTGGCCTTTCCACAAGAAAGCCTTTTTTAAAGCATTGGCCATTTCTTCCTCATGCAATGCACGTGCCATGCGGTTTCTCACTGCACCTGCCCCAAACGGTAATGAAGCTCGCTCACTATTTCCCTCCTAAAAACCCGACCCAGTAGGTCCTCCAGATACATCCCCCTCCCTCTCGACTCAGCAATGGGCTCTCAGTGCCCAGGGCTCCCGAGAGAGCACCTGCGGCTCTTGCTTTCACCCCAGCTTGCAGCCCAAGAAATCTCTCAAGTCCAGGCAGGGCCAGGGAGCAAATCTAAGGGCATCTCATGGGGAAGCCCGCCTCTTGTCTTAAATCAGACGCCATCAGGACCGAAGACAACCTACGAAACTTCTTCAGCTTGAACGGCCCACACCCACAAGAGAACCGAACTCTGAGCCCTGCTGCCCATATAACTGCGAAATCCTAAGGACTCGCTGGAAATGACCCACCAGACAAGCGCAAAGCTAGATCTAGACCTAAAGGTTCAAAGCAGCCCGTCCCGCCTCGTGGGCGGAGACGCGGGCAGGGCCGGGCTCCGTCGGGCAAACTCTCCACCGGGGGTCTGTCCCCGCCGTCCCCGCCACTCAGCAGCCGCCAGGAGCGCAAACAGGACAGGACCTAGGCAGGGCGGAGCAGCGCGGCGCTAACGGGCCGCGGCTCCGCCGGGACCCGCCCCCAGGGCCAGGGCCGCTCCCACCCTTCGCGCTCCGCCCGGCCGGGGAAGCCCAACTCGACACCGGCGCGCCGGCCGCCTCTCCCAGAAGCTGCTCGCCTCGGCCGCAGACCGCCACGCACCGCGGAACCGCTCCTCCACCACCTCTCGCGCCGCGCGGTCGCCGTGCACCGCCCGCAGCCGGCCGAGCAACGCGCCGGTCTCCGCGCTCTCGCCGAAGGCCTCCAGGGCGGCGCCGCGGGTTAGCGCGTCGTCCTCCGCCTCCTCGTCCGGGCCACCCGCGGCCGGCACTTCGCACAGGGCCATCGCTACTATCCGCGCTTCACAGTCCGGAGCGCCAGGGACGCAGCGTGCGCGCTGAGAGAAGGAAGGAGACCCTCCAAGGCGGCAACCCACACTAGCCCCGCCCCGCGACCTCCGACCCCGCTCGCCGGCCCCCTACGGAACGCTCCAGCCGCCAAACTAATATGCGCGGAGATGAAGCTGTATTCTGGACAGCGCAGGCGCAAGTATGGTCAGAAGATCCGGGACTTGTGCAGGGAGCAGGCGGAGAACCCGCAGAGGTGGAGCGGTAGCTGCTGGGCCCGAGACGAAGAAAACGGCGGGGGCGGGGGATCGGGGTCCGAGCAGGTAGGCCGAGGACCTGGTAGGGTGGCAATGAGAGTGGGCGGGGCATGAGCACCTGCTAGGCAAGGTCTCCACTCGGGGCGGGGCCGAGCACGTGGGCGGGGTCTGAGCACTGTAGGACGGGATCTCAGCCCGCTGGCGAGTCCCAAGCACTTCAGCAGGGTCCCGGCGGGACCGAGAGCCCGTGAATGGGGTCCCCAGGCCGACCCTTAAAGGATGACACCCCTGACATCCCACCCACTCTGGCCATCCGGACAGACTGACCACATGGACGCCCCGCTGCCCACGTTAGCTCTGCAGGGAGACGGCCGGGAGGTCCCAGCACGGTGGGCTGGAGCGGGAGCCCTGAGCACCCAGGGCTGCGGCGCCAACTTCAGCATCAGCAAACCACAGAACTGGATGAGTTTCTAGACGACTGCCTCAGGAACGTCCGATCCCCAGATATGACCCGCGACAAACCTGCGAGGACCCTGGGCCCAAGAACTGGCGCACAAACTTGGACACGCAGGGACGCAGCCACACGACCCTCTACTAGCTTTATTGGTCCGGGAGCCGCCCGGGTGCCCCTGCCTGGGGTTGGGGCTGGTGGGGAGGCTGATGGGTAGGGAGGGCTGTGGAGGGGCTGATGGGTGGTTGAAGGGCTGAAAGGTGGGAGGCCGGCGGGCGAAAAGGCGAGGAGGCAGGAGCGGGGCTGGTGGGGGCCGGGCCGGAGGCGCTGGCGGGCCCTGCTACTTGAGCAGCCGCTGCAGGGTGCCCAGCGACGGGCCGCGGTACTCTGGCCCGAAGTGGTTCCAGTGGTTCAGGTAGTTGAACAGCTGGTAGAGCAGCAGCCGGCGATCGAAGCCCGGCGCGCGGGGCAGTTTGCGGTGGTAGGCGGTGAAGAAGGGCCTGGGGAAGCCCCCGAACATCAGGGCAATCGCCAGCTCAAACTCGGAGTGGCCGTAGAAGGAAGCTGGGTCGTACACTATGGGCCCCGCGTTGTCCTCTGCCACGTTCCCCGCCCAGAGGTCCCCGTGCAGCAGGGCGGGGACGATCTCTAAGCCCCGAAACAGGTCCGGGATCTTCACCTGGGAACGGGGTTATGCAGAGTGACTGTGACCGCGCACTGGGGCGTGACTCGGGTCAACCACAGAACCTTCTGCAGGCCCGAGATCGGAGCACCAACTCCGGAGATGCAACTCGGAACCGCCCATGCTCACTGCTAATTTACAGCACTAGCGACTTCCACACAGAAGAGACCTTTGACGGTCACAGTTCCCCTGTCCTGCAGGCCATGAACCAGTTTTATCCCTAACTGGTCAGCAGACTCTCCGGTGTCATCTCAGTGCAAGGAGGTATTAGCACCTCTTCTGTTTCCTGCTGCTTCCTTCATTAATGGGTTTAATAAAATGTCTTTGATGCATGCTCACTCTGGATTTAATATGTTAATTCGTCTAACATTTTGAGAGTTATGTTTTGAACCCAGTCACTCTGGGGCACCTGGTACCCACATCTTCACTGAAAGGGAGGAAGGGTTAAAAGTGGACCAGTGTTAGGAGTAATTAGAAAAGTAACAGATGTGGCAACCATTGCTCAGTGGGTAGGGCGCCGACCACATACACTGAGGCTGGAGGTCCGAACCTAGACCAGGCCAGCTAAAACAATGACAACCGCAAAAAAAAAAAAAAAAAAAATTGCCGGGTACCTGTAGTCCCAGCCACTCTGGAGGCTGAGGCAAGAGAAACGCTTAAGCCCAAGAGTTTGAGGTTGCTGTGAGCTGTGACACAACAGCACTCTACCCAGGGCAACAGCCTGAGACTCTCTCTTAAAAAAAAAAAGAAAGAAAAGGAACAGTAAATGCGACCATGTACAAGGCACACACTGTCTTCCTGAGGAAGCTGTGAGGCTAAGGGTACTTGGCACGCCTCCTGCGAGGAATACAATAGGGACCTTAACCAACAAACGCAAACATAACCTACTCTTTTGTACCTTTATATAAATCTGAAATTTTTAAAAACCAAAAGAATCTACAAATAATTAAAAGAAAAACCCATGTAATAGGTGCCTATAGTCCCAGCTACTTGGGAGGCTGAGGCAAGAGAATCTCTTGAGCCCAATAGTTTGAGGTTGCTGTGAGCTATGACGCCATTGCACTCTACCAAGGGTGACATAGTGAGCCTCTGTCTTAAATAAATAAATAAATAAATAAATGAAAAACTGAGGATAACTACCTGGTGACCCAGTGGGCACAGCCACACTTAGGAGCCAGTGTCTTCAGTTCTCACCCCCCTCCCCTCCAGTGTCCTGCTCAGGCCAGTTGTCAGGCACTAAAATATCCACAACTTGGCCAGCTCTGCTCCAGGGCTCAGTTCTATGAGAGGCCCCCACGTGAATGTTGGTGGGGTCCTGAAGGGGCAGCCTCATGACTGCTGCTGTGCCCACCTGCAGCCTGGACCAGAGCTCTCGTGCTTCTCGGTCACCATAGTCCTTCTCAATGAGGTCCAACTGTGCCTGCAGCCGCTGCCGGGTGAAAAAGGTTGGCCAGTCCTCCTGCCATTCATTCACCTGGACAATAAGGATCCGAGGACCATTACACATGGGGTCTGCCTAAACCCCCAAAGCAAGCAATATAACTAGTATGCCAACAAGGGGATATGACAGAAATATAAAATACTCAGCAAATCCAAAAGAGAGCACCTAAGGAGGAAATGGGACAAACAGAAAACAAGCCGTAAATAACAGACTCAAACACAGTCCTATCAATACTCACACTAAAGGTGTTACAAATTGTCAGAAATAGTTAAGTGAAAGAGATTGACTGGTTGGAAAAATAAAGCAAACCCAACTATTAGTTTTGTGCAAAAAGGCACTTCATTTATAAAAACGGAATTAGGTTAAAAAGATAGACAAGATAAACCATGCTAACAATAGTTGAAAGAACGCTAGAGTGGCTATATTAATATCAGACAAAGTAGATTTCATAGCAAAGAATATCACCAAGTATAAAGTCATTTCATAATAAAAAGGGTCACATGATGCAGAGGACATCATCACCTAAAATGTTTACACCTCTAATAACAACATCAAAATACATTAAAATAAAATCGAACTAGATAGATTCCAAAGCCTGCTAGGGAACAAAATGTGCCACATACCCCCCATTCATATGTTGAACTTCTTTTTTTTTTTTTTTTGAGACAGAGCCTCAAGCTGTCCCCCTGGGTAGAGTGCCGTGGCATTACAGCTCACAGCAACCTCCAACTCCTG